AGCGCCCTCTCTCTCTCTCTCTCTCTCTCTCTCTCTCTCTCTCTCTCTCTCTCTCTCTCTCTCTTCCATTCCTTGTCTGTAGTCTTGCTTTTAGCTTATTGACCTTCTTCAACAACCCAGAAATGATCTGCACTGCCCATGAGCACATATGTGGGTCTACCCAGGTGAAGCGATTGCAACCACTATTGGAACAACTGAGGAACCTCTTACCAGGATTTGCATCAGTCCATGATGTTTGTATCACCGTTTGTCTTCCACAAGAGATGCACATCACGTCTTTCATGTCACTTGAGCTCCATCTTCCCTAATTTCTTGACCCTCTATTCCTCATTTTCTCTTCAAAAAATGAAGCTCTATTTTTGTTTGGGGTTTTTATGTGTTAAATAGCTAAAGGGTTAAGCTTGGATATGGGGGAAAGACTTCACTTTTCCTCTAAACAATAGTTTAGGGGAAAAACTCATCACTTTCCATTTAATTGTAGACGGAATGAGACGACATGGCCCAAATTGATCCAAATTTAAAAAGTTTGGGGGGCCAATTGAAATTATACAAAGTTTGGGGTCAAATTGAAGAATGTATAAAAGTTTGAGGGGCAAAATGATATTTCCTCCCATTCTTATCATTATTATGGTTGCTAGTTTTGTGCAGAATATGAAGGAATCAAGCGGGTAGTCAAACTTGGAATATGGATGATGTTGAGGAAATCATGGCTTTAGATTATCCCTCTCTCTCTCTCTCTCTCTCTCTCTCTCTCTCATGTGGATGAGCCTATAAATAGGCCAAGAGAGATGCAAAGAAAAAAAACACAACATAACTCACACAATGTGAATTCTAGGAGTAGTTACTTAGCATATTAGGAGTAGCTCAACTATAGTTTGTTACCAATTCTCCGTCGATCAGTGTATTTTTCTAGTTTTTGTTCATGTTTAAGTTCATGTAACTTGTGGAAGTGGCAATTAATTTTGATCAATACAATATCAATTACTTTTTTCTCATATTCTTCATCATATATTGTCCTTCAAAGAAGTCTTTAATTGGTTTAAGGCATAGTATGATCTTTTGTATTTTTGTAAAAGTTAAGTTTTGTCTACTGATTGAAATTTACTAAATTTTTGCTAATAGATTGTAATGGTATTTAAAAAAAATTATCAGATGAAGCTATCTAATAATATTTTTGAATCCATTTAGAAACTATTATAGGTTAGAGGTATAATAGGATTGTAATGCTTAAAATTCCTTCTATAGTGGTGTGGATGAAAGATATGTTGGATTCTATTTTGCCTTTGGTTCTCTCTAATGTGCCTCATTGATGTTTCTTTGTTTTCTTCTTGTTACCATCTAAAAAAAAAGGGGGGCAAACTTCACTTTAGCCCTCTGTGGTTTAGGTCGTGTGCAGTTTACCCTCTTGACGTTTGAAAATCACCACATAACCGCCCTGTGGTTGCTAGATTGAAGTGCACAGTTAGCATTTCCATCTAACATAATAGTCCGTGCATGACACACCTTAATGTGCAAATGGTCATGGAAAGATAGTTTTCCCTCCGAATTAAGTGACTAAAATGTATTCATCTTCATCATCAATTTCCAAAGTCTACCCTTATCTTCATCATCAATATCCAAATTGTAAACCTTTGCCCAGCCATCCCTCTTACCATTCCATTCCTCCTCTGTTCGTCGAAGAATTCACTCTCACCGTTTTTGGCGTGATCCTACATTTGATCGACAAAAAGTACAGCGTCGAGCCCGCTTGCAGAAATTTATCGATTCTTTGTCTTTGTCAAGGTGATAACATTATCGCTGTCCTTGCTTGCGTCATCGATGAGATCCAGTGGCCGTTGTCCAAGGACTTGGCGGCTGTTAAACTCAGTGAATCGCATTACTTCTTCTTGTTTTGCACTCCGAAAGAGAGCAATTTGGATTTGAGTTTTTCGATGCAGAAGGTTTCGGAGACGGAGAAGAATGAGGGATTGCTTGATGGGACGATGGTGATGGCCGTTTCGCCAGAGGACTTGAAGTTGAAGAAGAAGAAGGAGCCATGACCATGATGTTGATGAATAATTTTATGATTCAAGAAATGTGATTCCAGAAATTATCATCCATCTCCCACAAATTATCATCCATCTCCCATTTGCAATATGATTCCAGAAACATGATGTTGATGAATCCAAAATAATTTTATGATTCCAATATATCTACAATATATAATATATAAATATATAATGATGTATATCTATATGAATGTATATATGTTTGTATAATATATATACATATATATATATATATATATATTGTTCTAAAAATATAATTGTTAGGTTTTTATTCTTGGTAATCCCGTTTGACAAAACTCCTTTCAGTTGTACTTGTTTTCGCACTTTTATTTTAGTGAGGCTATGAGTTTTTAGATGCGAATCCAACCCAAATTGTGCCTTGTAGAGAAGTTTGTGATGATTAATTCTTTCAAGATTGCCACGGCAGGGTTGAGGGGCAGCGTCCCCGAAGCAAAATGCAAAAATGCATTCGAAGTTACTTGTCCGCCTTGCTTGCTCGAGCGAAGAAGTCTTGGCTCGAGCGAAGAAACCTTGGTCTCAGAAGCTACGTTTGTCTACATAAAACTTGAGAATGAAGATTCTACACTCGAGCGAAGGAAACTTGGCTCGAGCAATGACACTTGAGGAAAACACGCGTCTTTGGTTCCTCGCTTGAGTGAGAGAGTCTTCGCTTGAGCGAGCATCGCGATTCAGTTTTCTATAAATATGGGTTTCAGTCAGATTTTAGTATTATGCTTCCAGATCTTCTTCTTGGATATTAGGGTTTATATCTGGGGCTATTTTGTTAGTTTTTTTTGATGTTTGATTGAGTATTTAACTCATGGTTTAAGAAGCATATATCAAAGGATTGTTTGTTTATTCTACACAAAAGAGAGAGTTGTTCTTTGATGGATTCTGGAGAATTCGAGCCTGAAGCTTTGGTGGATTCTGGAGTGGCTCATCGTCATGATTCGACATCGGCGTTGTGGATTCAACGTTGGGCAAGACAATTCCAAGGTGAAGACGAGGCTGGAAGAGGCACATAGGGGTTGGTTCAATTTGGGCGTTGATTCGTTAGGTAATTGAGAGTATACCTGTGTAATTCCTTTATGTCTTTTTAGTGGATTGTTTTGTGACTTTTGCTCGTGGTTTTTTAATCACAATTGGAGGCGCTCCAATTGTGGTTTTTCCAAGTAAAATCATTGTGTCGATTTGTCTTAATTGTTTGATTGGGATTGGTATTTACTACTTCAACTTGATACATAATCACAAATCAATATCTAGGGGGTTTCTAGATTTTTGAATAATTAAATCTAAATTAGGTTGAAATGTTAGGAATTGAATAAATGATTAGGAAGTTAATGATAATTTGTTAAACCGAAACCCTAATTCCACATGTCGAGACCCTAAGTTCTCTTAACACATCCCTTGCTCTTCTTAAATGCATGACTGTTTAATGAGAAATTGTAAACAAGGGTTATGTATATAAGGGCAAAATACTCTTTTTACTTCTGCCATTAATGGTTCTAACTGTGTACTTTAATCCAGTAACCACATGGGGATTATGCGATGATTTCCAAATATCAGGGGAGTAAACTGCACGTGGCCTAAACTACAAGGAGTAATGAAAGTTTGCCCCCTCCCCAAAAAAAAAAAAAACTTTCTATAGTTATCACATGAATGACACAGCGGACATTTAAAAAAAAAAAATCTCAACTGCCATTATTGATTTGATTGAATGGACAAAAATTTTAAATTTGAATAAAAAAAATTGTTATAATTAGAATTATACGAATTAAATTCATACAAAATATACTACAAAAAATATTGGTATAATTTGTTTTTTTTATTTATAAATAATAATAATAATGTTGATCTTTGACGCATACCATTGAGATATAAGATGTTAGAAGGCCAACTACGTAACGTGAATTAAGTATTAGAATAAAAAAAACATTTAACTATTAACTAAAAATTGAAATCTAATCACAAAATAACTCTAGTGATGATTTGAAGATGTCAAATAGTGAATGAAATACAAAAACATACAAACATACAAAGAGATTGTATGACAACAAATAAAGAGAGAGATAAGAAAAGAGAGAAAATATGATGAGTTATTTAAGTTTCACAATATGACCATATAAAACTTAAACTCACGATGAGTTATTATATAGAGATTTGATTTCAACCAAACCTGCATTTACTCATCCCAAAGCTTCTACTTGAGTAAATCCACTATTCTCCTGGTAACTTTACTCATCTAGCTTCCTAAGATTCTAATTGGCCTTTTACCACTAGAGTTTTGTTTCAGAAATCTTGACACAAAAAAAAAAAAAAAAAAAAAAAAAAAAAAATCCCCTCAAAACTCTTCCAATTTTGGATTTATAAATTTTAATGTTGTGCTTTGTTTAAAGGAATGAAAAGAAAAGAAAAATTATTATGTTATTAGAATATCCATTCTCATTCAATGAAAAATATATTATAATAAAATCATCATGAAGTATCATGAGAGAATGTTATTTTATAAGAAGATTAAGAATAACCATTCCACTCTATTTCACTTTCATTTCAACAGACCAAATGTTGCTAAGCGTATCATCCACCACTATCTTTGGTTGTCACTGATAACCTCTAGGGGGCTACATTTGGCTGTTGAGAACAATTTTCTTGCAGCCCCCACCAGTTGGTGGTATTTTTTTAGTGAATCTTCGACAAGGTTTCTGGCAAAGTAAAAATTTGTTTAAAAACATCAAAAATTTCACACAGTGAAATTTCAAAAATTGTACTTATTGTCAGTGAAATTTCACTATGACAATGAATATTAATTGTGCGAAATCACACTAGTTTGACAATATATATATTGAAGTGCACAGTTAGCATTTCCATCTAACATAATAGTCCGTGCATGACACACCTTAATGTGCAAATGGTCATGGAAAGATAGTTTTCCCTCCGAATTAAGTGACTAAAATGTATTCATCTTCATCATCAATTTCCAAAGTCTACCCTTATCTTCATCATCAATATCCAAATTGTAAACCTTTGCCCAGCCATCCCTCTTACCATTCCATTCCTCCTCTGTTCGTCGAAGAATTCACTCTCACCGTTTTTGGCGTGATCCTACATTTGATCGACAAAAAGTACAGCGTCGAGCCCGCTTGCAGAAATTTATCGATTCTTTGTCTTTGTCAAGGTGATAACATTATCGCTGTCCTTGCTTGCGTCATCGATGAGATCCAGTGGCCGTTGTCCAAGGACTTGGCGGCTGTTAAACTCAGTGAATCGCATTACTTCTTCTTGTTTTGCACTCCGAAAGAGAGCAATTTGGATTTGAGTTTTTCGATGCAGAAGGTTTCGGAGACGGAGAAGAATGAGGGATTGCTTGATGGGACGATGGTGATGGCCGTTTCGCCAGAGGACTTGAAGTTGAAGAAGAAGAAGGAGCCATGACCATGATGTTGATGAATAATTTTATGATTCAAGAAATGTGATTCCAGAAATTATCATCCATCTCCCATTTGCAATATGATTCCAGAAACATAATGTTGATGAATCCAAAATAATTTTATGATTCCAATATATCTACAATATATAATATATTAATATATAATGATGTATATATATATATATATATAAATGTATATATGTTTGTATAATATATATATACATATATATATATATATTGTTCTAAAAATATAATTGTTAAGTTTTGATTCTTAGCAATCCCGTTTGACAAAACTCTTTTCAGTTGTACTTGTTTTCGCACTTTTATTTTAGTGAGGCTATGAGTTTTTAGATGCGAATCCAACCTGAATTGTGCCTTGTAGAGAAGTTTGTGATGATTAATTCTTTCAAGATTGCCACGGCAGGGTTGAGGGGCAGCGTCCCCGAAGCAAAATGCAAAAATGCATTCAAAGTTGCTTGTCCACCTTTCTTGCTCGAGCGAAGAAGTCTTGGCTTGAGCGAAGAAACCTTGGTCTCAGAAGCTACATCTGTCTACATAAAACTTGAGAAGGAAGATTCTACGCTCGAGCGACGGAAACTTGGCTCGAGCGATGACACTTGAGGAAAACACGCGTTTTTGGTTCCTTGCTCGAGCGAGAGAGTCTTCGCTTGAGTGAGCATCGCGATTCAGTTTTCTATAAATACGCATTTCAGTCAGATTTTAGTATTATGCTTCCAGATCTTCTTCTTGGATATTTGGGTTTATATCTGGGGCTATTTTGTTAGTTTTTTTTGATGTTTGATTGAGTATTTAACTCATGGTTTAAGAAGCATACATCAAAGGATTGTTTGTTTATTCTACACAAAAGAGAGAGTTGTTCTTCGGTGGATTCTAGAGAATTCGAGCCTGAAGCTTTGGTGGATTTTGGAGTGGCTCATCGTCGTGATTCGACATCGGCGTTGTGGATTCAACGTTGGGCAAGACAATTCCGAGGTGAAGACGAGGCTGGAAAAGGCACATAGGGGTTGGTTCAATTTGAGCGTGGATTCGCTAGGTAATTGAGAGTATACCTGTGTAATTCCTTTATGTCTTTTTAGTGGATTATTTTGTGGCTTTTGCTCGTGATTTTTTAATCACAATTGGAGGCGCTCCAATTGTGGTTTTTCCAAGTAAAATCATTGTGTCGATTTGTCTTAATTGTTTGATTAGGATTGATATTTACTGCTTAAACTTGATACATAATCACAAATCAATATCTAGAGGGTTTCTAGATTTTTCAATAATTAAATCTAAATTAGGTTGAAAAGTTAGGAATTGAATAAATGATTAGGAAGTTAATGATAATTTGTTAAACCGAAACCCTAATTTCACATGTCGAGACCCTAAATTCTCTTAACACATCCCTTGCTCTTCTTAAATGCATGACTGTTTAATGAGAAATTGTAAGCAAGGGTTATGTATATAAGGGCAAAATAGTCTTTTTTCTTCTGCCATTAATGGTTCTAACTGTGTGCTTCAATCCAGTAACCACATGGGGATTATGTGATGATTTCCAAATATCAGGGGAGTAAACCGCACGCTGCCTAAACTACAGGGAGGTGAAGTGAAGTTTACCCGACTTTTTAACACTACTCACAATGAAGAATCTCATAGGAAGCAAGCTGCCCCAATAGAAGCACATCAGTCTACCTTTGTGTACCATGTACCCCTCTTGATGTAGGGCAAGTGAGGGAAACACTTTTTTATAATTTAAGTCAGCATACTGGATGTAGAAGGGTCATAGAGTCAGATAATGGCTTGGTTTTATTGTAGAAAAGGTTGATAAAAAATTGGGGTTTTAGGATTTTGACGAAGGTGATAGGGTTTTTGAAGTTGAAACTAGGTAAGGGTCCACTCTGTTTGGTCTGGAATTTTCAGAAACAATTTTATGAGTTTTCAATTTGTATTTTTCTATTTTTAGTGATTTTTAAAAATATTTTAATCAATTTTTTTTTTTTTGAACTTTTTAGATCTACTTAATCTTGATATACTTTTGTTCCAAAAAATAAAAAATAAATAAAAAAATCTTGACATATTTAAAAAGTATAAAATTTGTTCAAAAATTCCTTGAATACAACAAAATACAAAAATGTACTGAATTTTCGTATTATTATTTATTTTTATTTTTTTGTATTTGGTGGATTTTTAAATTTTTTTTCACAAATTTATACTTTTTAAGTGCGTCTAAATTAGGTGTATCTAAAAAATAAAAAAATTGCATAAAATATTAAAAAAAAAAAAAAAAAAATCCCCTCAAAACTCTTCCAATTTTGGATTTATAAATTTTAATGTTATGCTTTGTTTAAAGGAATGAAAAGAAAAGAAAAATTATTATGTTATTAGAATATCCATTCTCATTCAATGAAAAATATATTATAAATAAAATCATCATGAACTATCATGAGAGAATGTTATTTTATAAGAAGATTGAGAATAACCATTCCACTCTATGTCACTTTCATTTTAACAAACCAAATGTTGCTAAGTGTATCATCCACCACCATCTTTGGTTGTCACTGATAACCTCTAGGGGGCTACATTTGGTTATTGAGAACAATTTTCTTGTAGCCCCCACTAGTTGGTGGTATTTTTTTAGTGAATCTTCGACAAGGTTTCTGGCAAAGTAAAAATTTGTTTAAAAACATCAAAAATTTCACACAGTGAAATTTCAAAAATTTTACTTACTGTTAGTGAAATTTCACTATGACAATGAATATTAATTGTGCGAAATCACACTAGTTTGACAATATATATATATATATATAGAGAGAGAGAGAGAGAGAGAGAGAAAGAAAGAACACAAGGAGAAGATAAATGAGAGATGATAGACAAATGACTTATTAAAATACAAGAATATCTTATGGACTAATTGTGTAATGTCTCGATATTTATAACCCATTTTATAATTACCAAGCCATTTTAATCGTCCAATTTTTATAACATAAATACGATAAAGAAAATAAAGTCAACAATCTTATAAGATAAAATATATTTCCTTCTCATAATTTCCTTTATAACTTGCATCATTGGATTGCATAAAAGTACACATCAAAAGCGAGAGAAATACAATAAAAGTGCCTTAAGGGCTTACACTTTTCAAGGCTAGGGCCTTGATTACAACAAATCATAATCATATCTTGAATAAGTAAGCTTGGTAGCTATCAACAAGTAATCATCAAGAGGAGCTCCCATGCCCTAACAAAGTCTTCATGACTCATCACTGCATGGAAACACATCATTGGCACAACCTGGAAATTTGAATATCCAGTGCAATAGGAAGTGAGCATTGCAACTTAATAGAAATGATCTTTACAATTTAAATATCTATATTTCTTATGATCATGCTTATGCAATGCACATGATTTGCACAAAACCAATATGTGACTTCCTTTTTTGAAAAAAGTAAACAATGTTGACTCAATTACCTGTACCTTTGTTAAACCTTTGAAATCACATTTTGTAACAAAATCCATAAAATATATTTCGATATACTCCCACATTTATTGGCCATTGGGCACAAAGGGCAACTGGGCACCTAAAAAATATCATTTCCCACATTCGTTTGGCATCAACCCTGAGACAGGGCAATTGGGCACCCTTCACATTTCCAAAACCATACATTTATCGACATCTTTTGAAAATAATTCCACATTTACCGGCATCAAACACGGAGGGAAAATTGGACACCCAACATATATCCAACAATATCCCCCACATTATCTAACATTAAGCCTGCGATAATTGGACACACAACAATTATTCCAACAATTCTCCCACATTTGCTGGCTTTATAAGGTAGGGCGATGGGCACCTAAAATAGACATTAATTTTGAATTTTTTTTTTCTCTGAAAGCCTTGCACCTCATTAAAGACTCGACACTAGTCCAAAATCGTGCAAATGCAATGCTATGCATGAAGTGCAACTATGATAATTGTTTAAACAATAAATTGCAATATAATTCTCTCAACGATAGCCAAAACATTAATTAAATAATACGTAACCATATTACCAAAATCCACAACTATTATCATCATCCATAACTTATTATTTCCAAACATTTCTCAAATCATATAGCGATTCTGGTTTAGACCCGACCGTGTTGATGTTTTGGATCCAAGTTCCATTGTTTTATATGGTTGTTCATGTCTTGTTTCTCCTTATTTATCATTGAGTTTGGTTATAGGAGTGTCTTAGTTGCGTTTGGAATAGGTTAGTAGCTTCTTTTTGGAAATTGTTGTTGCCCAGAATTTTGCCTCTTCACTCGAGCAGTGATTCCTATGCTCAAGCGGTCTTTGTGAATTTCTAGTACTTTTGCAGGTTTGCAGAGATACTGGGAGATGTCATTCTTTGCTCGAGCGGTCTTTCTTGCGCTTGAGCGATGGTCCTTTGTCTGTGAAACTTCTGAAAGTTGGCATTCTTTGCTCGAGTGGTCACTTTGTGTACTTGAGTAATCCCATTTATTGTGTCTAGTCGCTCAAGTGACACTTCTTGCGCTCGAACGGTCCACGCGTATATCAGTTTATAAAAATCACTTTTTGAGTCATTTTTTCATTTCTCTCTCTCTAAACATTCTAAAAATCCTAGATCTAGAGCTTCTCTCTCTAAAACTCACATTCTCTCTACAAATACACTTAGATCCATTAGTTTCTCCACCCTAGTCCCTTTGATAAAAAAGTAGAGCACACCGAGAGCTTCCTCTTAATTGGAACAAAGTTGATTTTTGGCGTCTTTGAGGTTCCTTCACTCTCTCTCTCGTTTTTTAAGCTTGAGGTAGGGATTTCTCTACACTTTCTTATGATTTTTAACTTAGCTATTTGTTTTTATTAAACAACATTGTGAAAAGGGGGATTTTTGAACAACCTAGGGTTTTGACTTGAAATAAAAAAGAGGGGTTTTCAAATGGGTTGTTGGAAATGATCGAGGAAATGTATCTATTGTTGAGTTATAATGAAATGAAGGATTTTT